CTTCCCATGGCCAATATTGCAAAATTAGGTGGGCAACAGGCTTATCAGGTAGACACTAGTGGTAAAGAATCCACCTGCCAAACCAGGAGAAGCAAGAGGTGTGGATTTAATCCTTGGGTCAGGAGGATCCCCTGGAGTAGAAAATGGCAGCCCATTACAGTATTCATGCCTGGAAAATTCCATGGACAGTGGAACCTGGCAGACTACAGCCCATGGGGTCACAAAGAGTTGGAGATGACTGAGCACATACAGGTGAGCTATACAAGAATTTTGAATTGCAAGTTGACTTCTTTATTTTATTTGAATGTCACTGGAAATAGTTTGATGGCTGTTTATTTCCTTTGTAGCAGATGGTATTGTTGTGAGATGACATTGAAATCTGTACCAACTGAGAATGTTGTTTATATTCATGATATTTTTTAATAGAAATAGACTAGAAAGGGTCTAAAATAAGTGATATTGCTTTTATAGGCAAAAGAGCACCTTGTATTAATGTGGAGCTACACTAAAAACTATATCCCCAGACTTTGTTTAAAAATGTGATGTTTGGTGAATAAATTTTGCTATTTATTATCAAAGAAGCAAGTATCTAATCAGTTTGATTCCATTTCACATATACAACACATAGCATACAAATATACACATATCTGTGAAAAAGACTATACCACAAAAATATTATACTAAGTGGTTATTGCTGAGTGGTGTATTTTTGCTTCTTTTGACTGACTTTTTAAAACAGTCCACAAAAAAATAGGCCCCATTTGCTGTAAGAAAATGTATAGAAGTCAATCTAATCAATGTTTATCACACTGTTATTGAGTAAATGCTTTTGTACTCAGATCTTTGTAAAAGATACAATCATATATTAGGGAAGCTCCTGCCCTTTAGAAATTATTTACTGAGGAAATGGACACAAAATATGAAGGCACTACTCTAGTGTCTCAGATACTGATTTCTTAATTAGAAAGCAATCTCTAAGAATAATATTGTTCAGGGGAGATTACAAAGAGAAAAGAGAGATCAGACTGGCATTAAAAGACAGGTCCAATACAAGGGGACATGTGAAGAGACAAGAAATTTCTGTTGGATGTAATGACTTCCATAAAAACATAGAGGTCACAAAGTATTATGTTTATTTGAAGCTCGGTATGGTATTAGTGGTGAAGAGAAACAGTAAGATTATTCCCCGCTATGGCAGTCTTTGACTATCAGGTTAGTATCTTCTCAGAGCAGCTTCTAACTAGCCCTTTTAAAGGTGCACAGAAGCCAGATAAAGTAGCCCTAAAGTTTCAGAAGAGAGATTCCAGGCCCCATCTTCTCATTTGTTTTGACATCTGTCCTTCATCCTGTCTTTTTGTTATGCCTGTTTGGTTTTAGTGTCTTGATTTCAAATTTTCTTCTTTGTTCTCCTCTTTAATTTCTTCAAGATATGTTTCTTGAAGCCACTTCTAGGCACCACAGGTTAACAATGCCATGCCCTCAGGATTATAACTTACACATACCAACTGAAGCTTCATTTTGTCCTAGCATGCGTTTGTCAAATGAAGAAAAGAAAATATATTTGTTAGTTTTTGTTGTTGTCATGTAACAAAATACCCCAGAGCTTTGTTGTTCAGTCACTCAGTTGTGTCTGACTATTTGTGATCCCATGGACTGCAGCAAACCAGGCTTCCCTGTCCTTCACTATCTTCCAGAGTTTGCTCAAACTCATGTCCATTGAGTCAGTGATGCTATCTAACTATCTCATCCTTTGTCATCCCCTTCTGCCTTCGATCTTTCCCAGTATCAGGGTCTTTTTCAATTCGGCTCTTCGTATAAGGTGGCCAGAGTATTGGAGATTCAGCTTCAGCAACTGTCCTTCCAGTGAACATTCAGGGTTGATTTCTTTTAGGACAGATTGGTTTGATCTCCTTGCTGCTTGAAACAACAAATATTTATTATGACACCAGTTTCTTGGAGTTACGAATCTGGAGTACCTTAGCTACCTAGGTGAGTATGGCTCAGGTCTTAAGAGGTAAGGCTACAGGTGTTGGCTTACATCTCCAAGGACTTTGGTGAGAGCTGGAGGATCTGCTTTTAAACTCATTAAAGTGGTCATTGCCAGGGGCTTCAGTTCCTTGCTGTCTTCATAAGGCTGCTCACAAGTTGACTTCACTCCAAACAAATGTCTGTTCAATTATAAGTAATGAACAACTTATTTCCAGTGAATTTTTGAAAGAGGATCCACTTGTGCAATAATATATATTTTTGAATATAGTTCCCATAAGAAATAATAGTGTCATAATTATTTCTGCCAATCCCAAAGAAAGGCAATCCCAAAGAATGCTCAAACTACCGTACAATTGCACTCATCTCACACACTAGTAAAGTGATGCTCAAAATTCTCCAAGCCAGGCTTCAGCAATACATGAACCGTGAACTTCCAGATGTTCAAACTGGCTTTAGAAAAGGCAGAAGGAGCCAGAGATCAAATTGCCAACATCCACTGGATCATCAAAAAAGCAAGAGAGTTCCAGAAAAACATCTATTTCTGCTTTACTGATTATGCCAAAGCCTTTGACTGTGTGGATCACAATAAACTGTGGAAAATTCTTCAAGAGATGGGAATACCAGACCACCTGACCTGCCTCTTGAAAAACCTATATGCAGGTCAGGAAGCAACAGTTAGAACTGGACATGGAACAACAGACTGGTTCCAAATAGGAAAAGGAGTACTTCAAGGCTGTATATTGTCACCCTACTTATTTAACTTGTATGCAAAGTACATCATGAGAAAGGCTGGGCTGGAAGAAGCACAGCTGGAATCAAGATTGCTGGGAGAAATATCAATGACCTCAGATATGCAGATGACAACACCTTTATGACAGAAAGTGAAGAGGAACTAAAAAGCCTCTTGATGAAAGTGAGAGAGGAGAGTGAAAAAGTTGGCTTAAAGCTCAACATTCAGAAAACTAAGATCATGGCATCTGGTCCCATCACCTCATGGCAAATAGATGGGGAAACAATGGAAACAGTAACAGACTTTATTTTTTTGGGCTCGAAAACCACTGCAGATAGTGATTGCACCCATGAAATTAAAAGATGCTTACTCCTTGGAAGGAAAGTTATGACCAACCTAGATAGCATATTGAAAAGCAGAGACATTACTTTGCCAACAAAGGTCCATCTAGTCAAGCCTATGGTTTTTCTAGTAGTCATTTATGGATGTGAGAGTTGGACTATACAGAAAGCTGAGCACAGAAGAATTGATGCTTTTGAACTATGGTGTTGGAGAAGACTCTTGAGAGTCCCTTGAACTGCAAGGAGATCCAACCAGGCCATCCTAAAGGAGATCAGTCCTGAATATTCATTGGAAGGACTGATGCTGAAGCTGAAACTCCAATACTTTGGCCACCTCATGCAAAGAGTTAACTCATTGGAAAAGACCCTGATGCTGGGAGGGATTGGGGTCAGGAGGAGAAGGGGACCACAGAAGATGAGATGGCTGAATGGCATCACTGACTTGATGGACATGAGTTTGAGTAAACTCTGGGAGTTGGTGATGGACAGGGAGGCCTGGCGTCCTGCAGTTCATGGGGTCGCAAAGAGTCGGACATGACTGAGCGACTGAACTGAACTGAACTGAATTGTTTCTACCACACATTTGTAGCCTAGAACTCTTTGATCAAAATGAGTCACCACATGAAGTCAAATTTTACTTTAATATTTGTAAAAATACTGTTCAAGATCCTATTCCATACCTCATTGGAAGGCAGATATCTTTTCTACGGTTTTTGGAAATTTTCAAGGTCTCCTGCCTTGCAGGTAAAGAATTCACCTGCAATGCGGGAGACCTGGGTTTGATCTCTATGTTGGGAAGATCCCCTGGAGAAGGGAAAGGCTACCCACTCCAGTAGTCTAGCCTGGAGAATTCCATGGACTGTATAGTCCGTGGGGTCATAAAGAGTCAGACATAACTGAGCAACTTTCACTTTCACTTTTCATGCATCTCAATGAAATTCCTAATTCCCACCCAATCTGATTATCAAGTCCTGCTATGATTGGGTTGATCTCTGCATCCAAGATTAGCACAAACATGAACCACAAGCATGGTCCCCCCTGTGACTCCCCCAGAGCATATAGGATAAGCAATGTGAAACAAGTAGTTTCCGGGATGTTATTTAGTAGGGGCAGGTAAAGAGGTGCTCCTGGAGAGGTTTGATACCATCCACCACATAGTGGAGAAAACAACTTAAGATGTAAAATTTCTCATAAAAGATTCCACAGGGATTTGTACTACTAGGAATCCTCTGACCACAATATCCTATCATGTTGCTGGGCCTATTTTCTTTCCAACTGTGGCACCATTCCCACTTCTGCCTTACCTATTGTTATTTTTTTATGTTCTTCTTGATATTCATCCCTCACCCCCTACTCCACATTCATTTTTCTTCTGTTCTATATTCTCATTCAAGACAATGCAAGGAAGACTTCTTTTATACCCAAAGCAGCCACCAAGTTGTTTTTCTAAATAAAAAGCCATTTTTTTCTCATGTGAACAGCATTCCCTAGTATGCTGAAACCCAATACAATCTACATTTGTATTACAGATCAAATTTTCTTCATTCTCAAATGGAATATAAAAACATAAAATATTATTTTTTAAGAGGGTATTAAATCTTTTATTGATTACACATGATAATGGATGATACACAAGCTTCATTCCCATCTATAACTTTTATCTGGTACCATAATTCAATTTAGATATATTGCATAGGATGTGCCAACAATCATTAATAACCAAAAAAAAAACCTCCATGACTTTGCATGGGTGACCCTTTTAATGGTGAACTCCAGGTCACAACACAGTAAATGTCAGTTCAACTACACCAAGGTTCTGAAGACAACAGCTTCTCCACCAAGCAGGTTGTAAATAAATTTCAAATGGAACCTGGCATCACCCTGAAGGAATTCTAACTTCACACTGTTGGGGTAGTTTACCAAAATGGCTTCAGAGTAGACTAATCACCACGGCTGCCACCAAAGCCACCTCGACCACTGAAGTTTCCTCCACGACCAAAGTTGTCATTCCCACCAAAACCACCTCCACGACCACCACCAAAGTTTCCAGAACCACTTCGACCTCTCTGGCTGGATGAAGCACTAGCCATCTCTTGCTTAGACAGGGCTTTTCTCACTTCACGGTTGTGCCCATTCACAGTGTGGTATTTCTGAATGGCAGTCTTGTCTACAGAGTCATGGTCATCAAAGGCTACAAAAGCAAAGCCTCTCTTTTTGCCACTGCCTCGGTCAGTCATGATTTCAATTACTTCAGTTTTTCCATACTGTTCAAAATAATCTCTCAGGTGATGTTCTTCAGTGTCTTCTTTAATGCCACCAACAAAAATCTTTTTCACAGTTAAGTGGGCACCAGGTCTTTGAGAATCTTCTCTTGACACGGCCCTCTTTGGTTCCACAACTATTCCGTCCACCTTGTGTGGCCTTGCATTCATGGCCGCGTCCACCTCCTCCACCGTGACGTATGTGACAAACCCGAAGCCTCTGGAGCGCTTGGTGTTTGGATCCCTCATTGCCACACAGTCTGTGAGAGTTCCCCATTGCTCAGAATGGCTCCTCAGATTCTCATCAGTTGTTTCAAAGCTCAATCCTCCGATGAAGAGCTTCCGCAGCTGTTTGGGCTCTTTGGGAGACTCTGATTTAGACATGATGGCAGTGGAGGCGGGGAAGTCTTCAACGATGCTTTCTCGGTGGCGTCCACAGGCAGAAAGCATAAAAACATAAAATATTAAAATAAATATGCCAATTGCTCCATTATGTCTGACACCAGTACTTAAATGCTGTTATTTTATTTTATTAATAATAATGTATTTAAACTACTCAAGTGCATTCAGATATAACACTTCACACATTGTACCTGGTCTATTTGATAAGAATAAGCCTTTCTAACAGTTGTCAACTCATGCAATTGCACGTACCTAACTACTTACTCCTATTTTGAATAATCATGTATTGTTACTTTAAATATAGTGTAAGTCATACAAAAGAAGGTGACTTGCAGGAAAATGTCATAGAACAGGTTTTTATTATTTGTTTAAGTAATTCTTTTAAATATGCAGTCACCTACTAATATATAGCATTTATTCATATATTTCCTTTTCAAAATACTTCACCCATATGAATTAATTTATTTCCATAAGCACTTCAGTGAAACAAATGAAAAATATCCTCTTTTCCAGAAGGGAGTATGAAACAGAGATAAACTGCTTATTATCATACAGAGGGAGAAGTAAGACTAAGACATAGCAAGACTTGCTCTATATTCTACCCTTGCTTTTATAATATCTATATAGTTTTTCTTTTGAAGTAAAAGAGAAGTTGCATCTAGAGAATACAGTTTTTCTCTAAGACAGCAATGCTGGCTTCACTCTGTGGCCCTTACTTGAATCTTTTTGGTGGTATTGCTTATTTCTAACCTTCACTTTGCCTGTATTTTATTAATGTGAAAGAGAGTGACAGTTTTAGATTCTCATGCCAAGATATCTGTGCAGATAAGCACAAAATAGCAAAAGACAAATTTATTTATATCTTAAAGCTTCCAAAAGCATCATGGGGGACTCCCCGTGTATCAGAACTTCACCAAACCAGAGGAACCACAAACGAGGGGGGCCCTAACGGCCAGGCTTTCATAACTATCCTGCTGCAGAGTATATTTTTTTGTCACTGAAAATTCTCTCTTATTCAAGTTTAGATAATTTTCTAACTGTCAAAATGTAATTCTTATTGTGTAAGTGACTTAAGTGAGAGGAAAGCTTACAATCCTTTTACTCCGGTAGCTAATAATTGATGATTGTTTTGAATGTTTGGTATACTTTTTATACTGTAGGTCGGGTTGCCTCACTCTTCTCTTCAGAATCCTCTAATGACTCTTCATTCCACTCAGAATAAAACATATGCTGTTACCACAGCCCATGGAGCCCCCTCTACAGCTCTCTCTGCCTCCTTTATTCCAGCCACACAGGCTGGACTGTGTCCTTGACTTTCCTTAGACTTGAGGCATGCCTGTCCTCTCCATCTCGCTTTGACCTGCGTACTTGTTTTCTCCTCCACTGTGATTTTCCAGAGACTGGCTGGCTTCTCTTCACTCTGAACTCTCCAAAGTAAGCCTGCTTTAAATATATCCTGCCATGTTTCTTGACAGAAAACTTCTGATAAGTAGCCCTTACTTTAACATTTACTCTCATGTCTGAGTATCTTAAGTGTAAGGCTATAGGTTCTTAGTGTGAACATTCATCTGGAAAGGATAGCATTCCTATCTAGCATGGAAAATTATATCATTCTTGAAATGCAAAAAGGCATCCAAATTCTATGAACTATTTTCTCTGTAAGACATCTTTTGACATTTTTGTCATAAAAGTACTGTAAGGGATTTTCTAGTTTGTCTCCAAACTTCATGAAACATTTGCTACTGGATCAATCAGTCTTCACTTACAGATCAGAGTGTTTATTGAGCTACTACTTGTGTTCAAGTGAAGAAATAAAAGCCACAAGTCTGCCTTCAATGTCTGTTCTTTCAAGTTACTGTCTCTTTGGAGACATAACATAGTAAAATTAAATAGTCAAGCAACCTACTGCCTTTCCCTGTGGATCCCAGCATCAGTGATAAATAATGTCCCAGTATTCTTAAAGGTTGACTTTATTTCTGAACATCTACTAGGAATAAAATTTACCTATACTTAGGCATTCAAGTGTTTGGGGCTAAAACTTTTTGGTACAGATTTAATGACCTTTAATAAAAATTTATTAATCAGAATGTTTACTTCCAGATATCGTGGTTCAATTCTATCAGTATATGATATTTTGAGAATAGGAATTCAACATGGTAAAAATAGGAATATCAATTACCACATGCTCTAACGATACTACACGTGGTATGTGGGCAAATGACTAGTACAGATACTTACACAATTTGAGTTTGCAGTAGTGATACTTTCTTATTTATTCTTACACATCCCTAGGGAAACTGTAGCTGAAAACCATGTCAAGTAATGTGATGCTGCTCTGCCCTTTTCCTGAAATGACTGCTGCAATAGACCCATTAGCACCACAGGTATTTATACTCTGCTTTTCAAAGGACAGGCTCAGGAAATGTGTGCCAAGAGTATACTGAATGAAATTCTACCGAGCAGCATCTTCAGCATGTTTGAGAATGTCAATTACAATGTGACGGATTTAATTGTTCAGCAAAGTGGAAATGCTTGCTTGGTTGATAATGTCTGTTTAAAGCAAGGTCAGATTATTGTGGAATATTTCCAGGAAATGCACCCTTAGAAACAGAAGGGAAATTCTGATGCTATTAATTAATTAGAGGAGGAGTTATCACCTTTAATATCTTGAGGAATTAATCCATTGCTGCTATTATAGATTCTCAACTTTTGTTTTTCCCATTGGAACCTTTAATCAGATCCTAGATATATCAGTAAACTGAGATTAAGAAGATGGGTTCAGACAGCCAGACTCAGTGATAACTCTGTTATGGTTTTCTCTGAAGAGCTGAAAAGTGGAAATATTGGTATTTATTGGGTCATGCAGATAATGATGCCAGGAATCTATTCTATAATTCATAGGTTACAAATTAAATAAAACTCTATCTGAAACAGTAGAGCAGAGCATTAGAAAAGATGGCAGTGGTAACCAAATTTCTCTTCTCTGGGAACCTAGGAATCTCACTGTCTTAGACTTTTCTTTTCGACAGACTTTTCCTCTAAAACCAAAGGAATGATTCTTTCTCTAGCAAACAGTTGTAGTTGATTTTAATAGTGCTGCCTATATTTACTTTAAATAAAACCATTTGCTTAATAAATTAAAATATAATTGACTCAAAAATGAGTTTTGAAGACTTGCACCCAATAGGATTTCTGTTACTTCAAAATACAGTAAGACATCTGTGTGTGATTTGATATGACCCTGGAGTGAGAATATTGCAGAGATTTTGAGGTCTTATGATTGTGCTGAATGGTCAAGCAGAAGGTATGATCATTAGGTAATTGAATGGCAAATCCAAATGGACAAATGTCTATATTGTAGTTTTACCATCATCCCTACACATGAGTTGATGCACAGATTAGTGAAGTTCAGCAATGTGATGACAGAGATGGGAGGGTGAAATGAAAGGCTCAAGGAAAATCCTGGAGCTATTTCCATGAAATTTTATCATTTGTTCAAGGGCTTAATTTATGTGATCCTCATGTCATTCATTGAATTAAGGCTGTTAAATAGATTGGTCAACTCCATATCTTGTGGAGGCATCTCATTCAGTCTAAGAAAGTACAAAGTTTCCTAGATTTGCCTAGTGAGACGCACTGTGGTAACTCAGGATCCCAATTGACCTTCAACCCATAGCTGTCTCTCAACCAGATATTCCATTTGAATTCACAATACTAAGAAAATGAATAATATTTAGTATTCCAAATTTGTTTCCTCAAAAGATAGGATGGGCTATAGATATGTTTTAGGATGCTTTCAGCTGTAAGTAACAGAAAATATATGTAATGATAGGAAAGTATAAGGAAAATCTATTATAGTATGGAAGGTCTAGGATATGGCATTTTTAATGTTTAAGCTAGCATGTAATGACGGTATCAAGATCCTGGGTTTTCCCCCCTAATTTTTCTTTTATCTGTCATTTTTAGCATGTCATCTTCTTCCTTTATGGTTGCAAAGCAGCTGCATCAGTTTAGGGATGACATCCTGCACTATATTTAAAGGCCAGAAGAAAAGACAGTGCATCTTGTTTTGTTTCTTTTTTTTTTTTTTTCAAAGAGCAAGGGAGGTTTCCGCAGAAGCCTCTCAGCATTTATACTGACATACCTCATTTGACAGAATTGCCCTTTTCTTCTAGTCTTAAACTAGAGCTAGAGGAAAAAATCGGGTGTAATGGCTTAGATTAACCAAGGGGCCCAGAATCCACTGGTACTGACCTCATCCTTTAGAAAGTGAAGACTGTTTTGGCAGAAATATAGGATGAATGGATATTGTATGGGCTTACAGGTGGCATTTTCCTTTGTACTCAGCTTAACAAGACTACAGAGAAGGCACTGCACTTATTGACAATTAGGTCAGATCATTCTTTATTTTGAGAGCAGTCCTGTGCATTGTAGGATATTTAGCAGTCCGTACCCCTGGCCTCTATTCAATCGATGCCAATAGCAACCCCCAGCTTATGAAACCAAGTTGTATTCTCATACAGGTGAAGGGGAGGATCAAAACTCACCTCCCACTGAGAATGTAAATTGGTGCAGCCACTATGGAGAACAGTATGGAGACTCCTTCAAAAACTAAAACTAGAGCTACCATGCGATCAGCACTCCTACTCCTGGGCATATGTCTGGAAGAAATTAAAACTCTAATGTGAAAAACTGTGTGTACCTCAGTGATCATAGCAGCATTACTTACAATAGCCAAGACATGGAAGCAACCTAAATGTCTGTTGGAGATGTGCTGTGTATATACAATGGAATATTCCTAAGCCATAAAAAGAATGAAATAATGCCATTTTCAGTGACATGGATGCAACTAGAGATTGTCATACTAAGTGAAGTAAGTCAGACAGAGAAAGACAAATATCATTTGATATCATTTATTTGTGGAATCTAAAAACATGATACAAATGAACTTGCTTATGAAACAGAAATAGACTCACAAACAT